GTTCCTCTAAATCTTCCTACCAATATGAACGAGTTGCGAAAACGAGGTCATACAACTTCTATATTAAATTATGTTTTGTTGTCGTCAATATATCTATAACATATAAAGGAGAGCCGATTAATTTTCTTGACGTTTTATTAACTTGAAATTTCAGCAAGAATATAAACCCATCCGATAAATTCTGCCAAGTGGCATAACAGACTGCGTAAACCCGAACAAATATAGAGAAACAGGAAGCTAAGCAGTATGAATAGAAGTCCACTCACTTATCAAGCTATGAGGGCCGATGGTATGCACGTTACGAAATCTGCCCTGTTGCTGCAGCTTAAATTGCTGTTGATGCTGCTGCTGCTGCTGCAGCTGAAGTAGTTGCTGAACTTGACCCGGCGTTAGCGCCTGCAGAACTGCAGGTTCTGACGTCTTCGTCTGAATAGGAGACTGCGTGGAAGCTGGCAGAGGTGGAGATGAAGGTATCGGTAGTGGAGGCAATGTATGGCTACTGGATGCAGCGTCAAGGCCAGCTACCTGCCCTGCCAGCCAGGAGCAGGAAGTTGGGCCGGCATGAGAAGGGACTAGTAGGGACGCATGCATCATAGAATATGGGTCGGCAGGTAGCATGAGCAAGCTAGGAGTTTGGCCAATATCTGAGAATATAAAATAGATAAGAGAGAAAGAGTATGGTAAAACGTTTCATAATGATGTAAGAACAATAAGTTTGAATGAAATCAAAATAGTAGCGGCAGAGATTATGCTATGAAAAAGATGATAGAAACCATAGTCATTATAGCTGAGGTCATTAGCATATTTAAAAAAATAATGATTGCTGCAATCCTAGCAACAATAAAAGGCGAGCGAAATGGGTAAAATTTGTGGCGATGCTAGTTCTTAGACACACTGATGGAATATATATTGGCAGTAGCGGTTGACTAGGAAGATTAATATAAATGAAGACTGGTGCCAATAAAAATTAATTTATTCCTCAAATAGCAACGTTAGTGATATTTATTTACATATAAAAGGAAGAAACTCAAGAACCAGAGGAATCATTCAAAAAACCGATGATGGCAACTAAACGCCAAGAAGGTATCACAATATGAAGTTTTCTTTGAATGAAAAAAGCATTTCGAAATTTTATGGAGCATTCATTCCTCTTTGATTTCATCAATTTGGCATTTTGGTCTTTCCAAAAACATTTTTCTTTTTGCCTTATTGTGTTGACCAACCTTAAAATAGTTGCTGTATTTTTCTTTTGCGATGAAGTTCGAGAAGACATCTGAAGCAATATATATAAATAATAATTATTTTATATAATAATTATTATATGGTATATTATCTAAAACAGTTTAAAGAATATTACTAAGTACTATGGGAGATATAGTTTTATTACTCAAGAGTGCAGAGACTTTGACCAGAAAACGAATACAGATAGCAAATCAATGCATGGTGGTCAAAAATGGTCAACTATAGATTGGTATTTATTTCTATAATCTAACAAAATTGCACAAAGCCTTATATTGCTTGGTCCGACTAACTTTTGTAGCATTTCAATATATATATATATATATATATATATATAATATATAATAAACTAAGACCTACTCGGGTTGCTCAGACCCGAACGGTTGTTTATTGCCTGCTGAATCATCACCACCTGATGGGGCTGTTGTGGCTTTTGTGACTGCTGCCCAACAGATACCAGGTTAGACGATGGCACCATTGGTCGAAGTAGTAATTGCTGGCCAGAAGCTCCGGCTGGTAGGCGAACTAGGTGGATGGGTTCCCTATCTGAGGATGCAGCTAAATGACCACCAGCCGACTGGACCAAATAGTACTTTTGCCGGTTAGCCAAAGGAGCAGTCGCTGCAGCACAAATCAGGCCTCCTGACAGTCCGATGGAAGAATGAATTGATTCAGCCGTCAAGTCTGTGTTCATGGAGTTAGAATCAACCAGCGCTTTCCGTTTCTCAGCAGAACTGTTCGAGGCAGATCGCGATCTTGACCGGGAATGTGAATGCGATTTAGATCTAGATCGAGAAGGAGACTGAGGATGGGGGGATCGACTACAATTCAGTGTGCAGGTATCTGAGGTGGCTGGGCCAAGCATGTAGGTGGCGGTAACCATGGCCCTGTTTTCATCCTGCTTATAGATTTGAGAACCAACGCCACGTATAAACCCACCATTGGGCTCCGAAATCTGGCCGCTACAGCCAGCTGATCCGATGGCACTAGAACTTTCTGGTTCTGTAATTGAGACGTTCGATTTGACAAGATATCTTGGGTGCTGACTAGCCTCGCTCATAGGCACATCTAATCCGAGCCCAAGACTGAAATCAGCGCTGGGAGTGCTTGTATAACCCGAAACCATGCCGAGCTGTCCTGAAGCTTGGCCAGACCAGGCTGGTAGAGTAGCAGATGAAGTAGCAAGTAAACCCTGGCCTTGAGCATGAGTCTGACTGTTGGCTAGTCTTCTCGACAAAACAAGATTGCTGCCGCTAATGGTGCCTCCGACACGGCCACCGCAACTTAATGAGCTAGAGCCGATGCCACCTCCGACGCCAGTGGTGGTAATGCGTCTTCGATAGGAGCGCAGAGCGGAGATTGAGTTAGCCGGAGAGTTGAGCCCAGGTACTCGGCTAGTTGAGGATGAGCTATATGATTCAGAAAGAATGTATAGTAGAGCCGTTTGTATAAGAAATGTTTTGTAATTAAGAGTAGCGTCATAAAAAATTACAAACCCTAATAAGTTGGCATGTATGTTTATCAGAGTATTGCCAGCACAAAATAAAACAATTTCTAGCACTTAGAAAATATCTCAATGTAAAATTGAGCTAAAAAACTAGATAAAAAGCGTAGATAAATGTGGTAAACAGCTATATCAAAAAAGAAGCTAAAGGATTTTGGAGAGTATGCTAAAGGGAGGTATGTATAGTAAGAAAATGTACTAAGATATATTTATCTAAATAAAGGAACATAAGTTGCACTACTAAAGTACAATGATTCTCTATGGTATATTATCTTGTGCAAACAGGGATTAATTTGGAACCCTGTAAAATGCACTAAATAGTGCTATCAACTATTTAGAAAATATCTCTATTAAATATAGTACTAATAGCTTTGTCTACCTAGTATCTAGCGAAATGACATTGGAATTGGAGTAAAGTATGCTATGCACAGTAAGGGTAAAGCCTTCAGGGGATTCTCGAGAATGAGCAAATACTGGTTGATGTAGGGATTTTAGTGGAGGATGTTTAGCACTATTGATGTGTCAAAAATTGCGACATAACCGACAAGTATATGGAAAAATAGACCTGCAGTTATAATATTCACCAAAAATCTACGAAATGACTCATTAATTGTCACATTCATCCAAATATATCCTTGTGGTTTAGATATATTAGATTAATTAGTTGTGGTAGCAGGCAACCCTCTAGGCCTTCCTGAAGTTTATATAGACCCAGTTTAAAGTGCAAATGCGAAACAGATACTCTGATGAGCCCTGGAGAAGAAATCTTTCAGGTTAAATTTAATGGTGTCTCAAGTGATTGTAAGCAGTCATCATCAGTATAATGCATTTTTATGGTCTTTTCATGAGGTAAACAGAAAAAACGAAATTATAGAGAAGAAATGGGTGTCGAAAAAGCCCTTAGTCATATATTGTGACATGACTTTCCATTCCGAAGGAAAATTCGGTTAAAAGGAATTCATGAAGTGGTCCCACCGGAAATCGAAGGAGACATATACTGTTTCAAAACAATTATCCATTAGGATTAGTAGACAATTACATATCAATTGTTTCAGAACTCACTCCAATTTACCTTATTATGTGCTATGGTGTCAAAGCGAAAATAGTCAGCACAGGCTAATCACGAAATACTTTCGATATTTTGTTTTTATAGTAACTAGGCTGGATAATGCTATGATAGCCGATATAGAAAAATAAATAGATAGTTATACATACAGTTAGACAGTTAGATAGATAGATAGATAAATAGAGGGAGAGAAAGAGATAGGATGTATTTCACCGAATGTTATGTGTTCCAATTCCATCAGTTACAAAGAGAAATGTTGGACACTGATTATAGTCAAGTTAAATCAAGCACAGGGAAACTAGCAAACGAT